CCTACGGTTTACCGGGCAGTTCTGTTTGTGACGATATATACAGGGTAACCGGCATTCGGGACAGGCCGAACGCCCGAACCCGAACGCCCGAACGCATGGGACCCCTTGGGGATGCGTTCGGCCGTTCGGGCCAAAGGCGGACCCAAAAAAAGAAAAAAGAAAAAAATCAAAAAAATCAAAAAAATCTGAAAAAAAAGATATGTTATGAAGAAAAATAAATTAAACAAGATTTGCCTGAGCATTACATCCAAATTCCTTACCAAATTTGAAATAAAAATAAAATACGGAGAAAAAATACTAATAATAAAAATAACAAAAAAAAAAAGAATTAAATTTACTGAGTGCGCGACCACTTTTACAACACCGCCATCTTTGACAATTTTTCATTTTTTTTTTGGCATAGCTAAATGCCCTGAAAATTTACAGATGTGTACTTCACATCATGCAAAACCCACTAAAAAAGTTTCAAAAAATAATAAAATTTTTACCCCGAACTTAAGTGAAAACAAAAAGTAAAAAGTGAAAAAAAATGTGGGCAAGCACGTTTTGCCACCGCCATCTTTGGCGATTTTTAATCCCTATTTGGCTGAGCCAAATGACTTGAAAATTGATAGGCAGGTACCTCACGTCATAGAGAACTCACAAAAAAAAATTCAGAAAAAAAAAGTTATTTTTAGGCCCCGAAATAATTTTTGGCGGGGCCGGAACCCCGCCGGGTTCGGACCCCGTACGAGACCCCGAACGCCCGTACGTACGGAGGTCGGCCCGGGGACCTCCGTACGTACGGGCTGGTGACCCTGTATATAAACAGTTTGTCACAGCCCCTCGTTTGTTGTCCTCTTCTCTCTCTCTGCCTACGGTTTACCGGGCAGTTCTGTTTGTGACGATATATATGATAGAAGAAGTAATAAGAGAGAAGTCACAACAAAAAAGTCGAAAAGTCGCAATGAAAAAGTTGAAAAGTCGCAACAAAAAAGTCGAAGCAAGGAAGGAAAAGAAAGAGTGGCTCAGGAAAAGGCACAAGAACAGTGTCATTGTGCTCCATGTTGACTTTTTTTTTTTTTTTTTTTTTGGAAGCTTTGCAAAGTGCATTCTTTTAGTAGATAAGTATGTGACAATACATGCGGGAGTGTAGATGATACTCGTTGTACATCGGCCTCATCCACTCGGTGTTTGGTTTTCTGTGTGCTGCTGCTCTGTATCGATAAGGACTGTTGGTCTCTTGATGTTGAATGGTCTTGTGACAGGTGTTTGAAAATTGAAACCTTTTTTTTTGTCCTCAGTTTGGGTTTAGGAACAAAAATGCCCTTCTTGTCGGGTGTCGGGTGTCGGGTAGGTCTCTACCGTCAGACTAGAGAAATTACTGCAGTCGGTGAAGTCAGTGATCTCTTCACGCATGTTGTGCAATACAAAGTTGAGTCCATCACACGTGTATATCTTTTTTTTTTTTAACCACTTTCTTGTAGGGTGGGTTGTGCGTTGTGCCATTCTAAATGTTTGGACTGTGTCTTGATTTATGCGGTTCGTCCTCCGCACAGGGGTCATGCTAACCCTCTCTCTCTCTCTCTCT